CCTCTCTAAGGATGCGTACTTGAGCTAAGTTCAGAGGAAAGAGAAAGGCCAGCCAGGCAGCAGAAAGGGCAGGGGTCATGGCTCCGGGGAGCCCCTGCGTGGGGCGTTCAGAAACAGCTCCAGCCAGCTGGGCATCGCAAAGTGGGCAAAGAGCCATGGTGATGGCCGAAGCCAGCACAGGAGACTGATGCCAGGCCGTGTGGGCCCCAGACATTCAGCCTCGTCCACTGAGCCCCTGCTGGGTGCAGTGAGCCAGACAGACAGACCCCTGCCCCAGGGAGATACCTTCCAGTGAAAGGCGGATGGAGGGGGCACTTGAAGGAAGGAGCAGAAGTGGGCACCGTGCTGCTGGGGGAGACAAGAGTGAGGGGAGCCTTCCCGGTGTGGGGTGTGGCCGGAGCAAAGGCCCCCAGGTGGGATGTGCTGGAGGCTGAGGGGTAAAAGAGGGCAGAGTGAGAGAGACCGGGGCAGGCTCTGAGGGCCACAGCCAGTGGAGGGCTTGTAGCCGGGGAGACCAAGACACGCTCTGGTTTTTGGGCTGCCATGCTAAGGGCATGGAGGGGTGGGGACGAAGGGCAGGTTCTGGATGGCGTTTGAAGGGAGCCACAGGGCTGGGGCCAGGGGGTTGGGCCTGCTAAGTTTGAGACCCAGCTTAGACGCTTAAGTCTGGAGCCGGAGCCGGAGCCGAGAGGCTGTTAGCCGGCAGATGGAATGGAAGGCCGAGGACCAGAAGAGAGTACCTAGACCCAGAGGAAAGGCCCTCGGGTGTCAGGGATGGAAGAGGAGGAGGGGCTGGAGCAGTGTCGGACAGCGCTGGGGGACTATGAGGAGTAAAGGACTGTGGCCTCTCAGGGTCATCAGCCACGATGGGGAACAGAGAAGTGTGGCAGAGGGAGACAGCAGGAGGACACAAGGAGGTGGGCACACATAGTGGGGAGCCACCTCGCTTCCCCCGGATGAGATGGGGAACCCCCAGCCCAACCTGACCCTCCTAGGGGCATCTCTCCCTGAAGAATGCTTTCTTTTCCTTTCTTTTTAAATTGTCCTACAGTGAAACGGGCTTTTTGGGGTACAGTTCAATGAATTTCCACACAGTCAGGACGCGGGCCAGTTCCATTGCCTACTGGAAGGTTTGGAGCCAGATGGGGGACCAAGAGTGTGACTCGGCAGCCAGAGAGAGCTCGGAAACTCCACCTGGAGAAGGGAAAGGAAGGATAGAGGGCTTTGCTGGTGGGGGTTGCGGTCCCAAGGGGACCCCAGGACCCCAGGCAGGACATAGCAGCAGCAATGGAGGTGGGGAGAGGCTCAGATGTGGAAGATGCTTTTGAGTTAGGGTAGGGCCCACAGGACATGCGGATGTCTGGTGCATAGGGTCAGGGCGTCAAAGCGCCTCTGAGGTTTGGCCAGAGCCCTGCACTGGGAAGGCTGCTGGTGGGCAGAGTTCAGCTGGAGCGCTGATAAGAGTCCTCCCTGGGCCTCCTGCAATTTGAGAGGTCCCTTAGGCGTCGAAGGGGGGACACCTGGGAGGCAGCCAGGGCAGAAGTCTGGCAGTCCAGGAAAAGGTGGACGTGGTGCAGCTGGTATCTGCAGTATTTACAGTGACCTGATGGTCTATAAACAGCATTGACAGCCTTGGGGGCCATGAGATTCCTTTGGGAGTAGTAGAGGGGGGCACGTCCTGGGTTGGGAGTAGAGCAGGAAGTGGTGCAGGAGCCTGAAATGAGGACAGAGTGAACCCAGGCTGGTGGAAGGAGGGCATCCTCGAGCACCCAGGTAGGAGTGCAGCCCTCTGGGATGGGCCTCTCTTAGAAATGTTTGCTGCTTTCCATTGAATCAATCTCCCGGGAATTGACTGCATCCTTCAGTGTTGGGTGGGCTGAAAACACCCTACCCTAAGACCAACACCAAAACATTGTTTAATGGCCCAGGATTAGAATGCAGGGAAAATAGAGCCTGGAGAAAGCTGACTCACTGTCAGCTGTAACAGACTCACCAGGACTCCAGCCAAGCTTAGCACCCCCGAACAGCAGAATGTTGAGGGGCAGCCCTTCCATCCTGCAGTGGTTCACTCAGTCACTTGTGCATTCCCCAAGTGTCTGCTGAGCAGCTGCTCTGGGCCAGGCTCTGGTGTTAAGCCACAGACAAGGCAGATGCCATCCGGGAGGGGCACGCTGGAGCAGCTGGTGGGACTGGAGTAGCAGTAGCAGCAGAAGCCCAGCCTGGAAGGAAGGACTGGTTCCATGGCCTGGCTGCCCTTTGTGGAGGTCTTTGGAGTTGAGCCAGGTGCTGTGAGACCTGTGCATAGGTTTGAGCAGGGGCCTGGCCTGATCACACACCCCAGGTCTGAATGAGGCCACCAGCTCAGTGAGGAGAAGGGTGTGGCCAAGGTCACCTGGTGTACTGCCAGCCATCTCACCCCACACAGCCCTGGGGTCAAGGCCTGCAGCATTGTGTCCTTTTTGTGACTTGACGGGCATGGGCAACAGCTGGAGTAGGCGATGTCCCAGGCAGCTTCCATACCACAATCCTGTACCAGAAAAGGCCTAAATAATGAGGCAACATCTGCATTGGCTACAAAAGGTGAATTCTGTTTCTTTTCATTAAAAATGTCAAATTATTCTCAATTTCTGTGTTACCCCTAATTCAGAAACCAGTCTGGAGATAAAGGCCTGAGTGAGAATAGCTGACCATCTGCCGTCTGGCAGATGTGACTTTCCCGAATCCAGAGAAAATCCTAACCAGATTTCAGATAGGGTGCTAGAAAATTCCAATGTGGAGCTTTTTGGCTCACTTTTATTATTATTATTATTTTAAATAGGAACAGGGAGTATCACTCTGTTCCCCAGGTTGGTCTCGAACACCTGGTCTCAAGCGATCAGCCCACCTCAGCCTCCCAAAGTGCTGGAATTACAGCCGTGGACCACCAAACCTGGCCCTGGCTCACTTTTTGCACTGGAGAGGTGATGAGGTTGGCATCATTTCAACTGTTCAGGAGCACTGTGCTTTGCCTAGCTGAGCCCCTGCAGGGCTGAAAGAAAGTCACTGAAAAAAGGTGATTCATTGTCTAAACTAGGGGGCGGCTAACTTTTCCTATACAGAGCCAGAGAGGAAATATTTTTAGCTTTCCAGGCCTGGTCCCTGCTGCCGTGACACAACTGTGCCCTTAAACCAGTAAAACTTTATTAACCAAAACTAGCAGAGAGCTGGGGTTAGCCCTTGAGTAAGCCCTGACACCTTGTCTAAATCCAGAAAACCAAATCCTAAATAGAACCTTGGCCCCGGAAATGCTTCAGAACTCCTAATGTGTCCACCTGCTCACATAGGGAGGGGTGGACAGGTGTTGGATGAACCCCAGGGTCTGCCTGGAAGCTCAGCGCTCTGTCTGCTGCCCCCTATAGGGACGGCAGTACAAGGTGGGCCAGCTACCACTGGCGGCTGTGCTGACGCTGGCTTGTGCGAGGCCAGGCAGAAGTCTCCCCATCAACTCCTGGCTTCTAGAAGCAGGAAGGAGCCCAGGCTGAGGGGCCAGGGAGCAAAGAGAGGCAGCAAGGACTTGAGTGCGTGAGGCAAGGTGGAGAAGCCAGAGGAGGGAAGAGCTCATTCTTGGAGCAGTGCCCTGCTGGAGGGTCAGGGGGCTTCAGAGGTGCCATGAGCTCAGTAGGGGGCAGAGGGCCACTGTGCTGGGGGAGTCTGGGGCACAGCGGGAGCTCTTTCCTGCAGGGAGTTCTGCTGATCTGAGGTCTGCTAACTCCTGTGGGGAGGGACCGCCAGGGAACAACACAGAGCGAAGCCCGGGGGGGCGGTGGAGACGCAAGTTTCGGAATGTCTAACTGGAAGATGGAGGAGGAGACGGGAGAGAGGACAGGGGAGTGAGGCCAGAGGAGCAGGGGCACCAGATTGAACCAGACCCAGTCGGACTCGGGGGCTATGAGGAGGCCACAGGGGCATCTGAGCAGAGACAGGCTTTAGTGGGTGCAAATCAAGAGTGTGGCCATTTTCGTCTCAAATACCTCCAGCTGGGGACTGCTGGGCTCTCTGGCCTGGAGCTCTGAGTACAGGCCTGGGCCACAGTTCCTGGTTATAGCCAGATGGGCCCCAGCACGGTGGCCAGGGTGGAGAGATATGGACAGAGAGGAGGAGGGACAGAGCCAAGCCAGAGCTCTGGGGCACGCAGGGACAGAAGAGAGGGCAGTGGAGGAGACAGGGCCAGAGCAGCTGGTGAGGTGGAAGAGGGCCAGGCAGGGGCAATGTCAGGAAGCCATGAGAAGTTTCCAGAAAGAGGGATGATCATCTGTGTTGGGTGCCCTGAAGGATCAAGTAAGACGAAGATGCAGAAGTGGACAGCGCAGTTAGCTGCAGGGGGACTCTGGGCATGGCAGGTCCCGGCTCCAGCCATGGGAGCTGGGGGATGGGGGGAGACCCATGCGAGAAAGACCGGCAGTGCCCATAGGCTGGGAACTTGCTTATACCAGCAGGTACTTCCGACTTTCTGGTAAGATAGAGGAGAGAGCCCACTCACCAGCATTCTCTCCTTTTCAAATCGTCTTTCTTTTCTACCAAATTGGAATTCAGATTGGGCAGAGACCCCGGAGGTCACCGAAGCCAGTCGTCCCCCCGGGACAGGGAATTGGGAGGTCGCAGCCACGAGCCTAGTGCAGCACTCTCGAGTTCCAGAATACCTGCCCAGCTCAGCCTAGAGAAAGACACTGCCATCTTCTCCTGCATGCAGATCGGTTGACGAGACCAAGGCCCACACCTGAAAACCCTTTCCAAAGGCAGGCAGAGCCACCCCATTCCGTAGCAGCCCTCCAACAAATGGGTGGACATTTCTCATGCCATGACCCCCAGCCATTGATGTGGGTGGAACTTACCAGCACCAGCTGGCCACTGACTGTCTCCTTCCTTCTTTCCTACCTTCCTTCCACCTTTCCTTTCCTTTCCCTTCCTTTTCTCCCTCCCTGCTCCCACGTCGGGCCCTGTCCCTCCATCTCCCACTCCAGATCCGGGTGGTGAAAGCGTTCCGTAGCTCACTCTATGAAGGCCTGGAGAAACCAGAATCCAAGACCTCCATTCACAACTTCATGGCCACGCCCGAGTTTCTGATCAATGACTACACCCACAACATCCCGCTCATCGACGACACGGACGTGGACGAGAACGAGGAGCGCCTCCGGGCCCCCCAGCCCCCATCCCCCAACCAGAACAACAACGCCATAGACAGCGGCATCTACCTGACCACGCATGTCACCAAGTCAGCTACCTCTTCAGTGTTTTCCTCCAGTCCCGGGAGCCCGCTCCACAGTGTGGAGACATCCCTCTAACAAGAACTTGTCTCAGCACATGCGCACACGCACACTCAGACTCACACGAAGTCACATGCACACATGCACGCACACACACATATAGGGACCTGCACACCTGCAAAACGGGAGAACAACTAAGGTGGCTGAAGACCTTTCTGGCAGGGCATTTGCAAGAAGCCAAATCCATTCAACAAGGGTGCAGCCTGCCACAGGCTCCTCATCCGGACTGAGGAAGACGAGGACGGGGAGGAGGAAAAGGAGGAAGAGGAGGACAAAAAGGGGGAGGAGAAGGTTCTTCGTCCAAAGGAGGAAGGAGAAGAAGTAGAAAGTGTGAAGAGCTGAGTTCCCCACCTTTTTTTCTATTGATGCTTCTTTTTTAACGAACTACAGTTTCACCGCGTGTTTGCTTTTGGGCTGTGCAGTGGGCAGGGGGCTGCTTTGGGTTTATTGGGAGCTTTTGTTGCACCCATGAAGGAGCAATCAGGTCAGCATATTCATGCAAAAAAAAAAAAAAAAAGTTGAGTGCTCTGCAGGGCTGTGAAGGGTGCCACCTGAGGGAGCCGCCTGCAAGCAGCCCTGCAGCCACAAAGCAATCCGCCCCCAGCAAAAACTAGGCACATCTGCAGTGTGCATGTGTGTGCATGTGTGCACATATATGTTTGTGGATCTGTACACATGCACATATATATGGCCAGAAGCATATTTCAATAAGGAACTATCTACTGGCATGATATTTGCATTCCTCTTTTCAGGCATTTTCATTTGGAAATTTCATTATTGAATGTAGCAAGGTTTTTTTTTTTTTGCTGTTGTTGTTTTTTGTTTTGTTTTATTTTGTTTTGTTTTGTTTTCGGGGAACTAGACTGCAAGAATAGCTTTCTGGTCAATCCATTTTTGTCCCTCATCTCCCTGCCCCCACCCTTCGTTCCTGCCCTCTGCCTGGTCCTATTGAGATTCCCAAGAAGGCGGAGAGGGGACGCTCCAGGTCTGGAGCAGGTATAATTGGAGCATTTGTACTGAGACCCCTGCCAGAGAGGAGAAAACCCTTTCAATTGAAATTTTAATCTAAAAGGAAAAAAACAAAATATTGATGAGAAGGAGTCCTCCAGTTAGTGAAACGGGAGTTTCGTTTTCAGCTTTCTTTGGTTTCTGCTGCAATTCCACATCCTTCATCCTGGCCACGCCCCCAACTTCAAGAGCATGAAGCACTCTTGGAGTTGTGGGTCCTGCCCAGAGTCCAGGGAGCAGCCCCAGCTGAGGACAGGTCCGAGGGGGCAGGGGCAGGGCCAAGAGTTCTAAAGAAGCCAATGGAGGGAGAGGGAGCATCAGAAGCCCGGAGGAGCTGGCGGTGGGAGAATGATGGCAGGGAGGCAGCCACAGTTCAGACCCTGTCCCCTCAGCACCTGGATGGACTCCCACTGTTTGCTTTGGCAAATGCCGAGGAGTCCTCAGTAGACCACCTCAATGTCTGCTGTGACACCAGAGATGCCATCACCAAAGCACTCTTCCCACCCTAGTCTTTGTGTCCAGAGGCCAAGCTTAAGCCATGAAGGCATGGATTTGTGGCTGAGCACCAGGTGCTGAGGGGAGCCTGTCCTGGCAGTGTGGGCGCCTGGTGGCCAAGCCTCAGTTTCCTCCAAATGAGCAGAGGGGATAAAGAGGGGCCTGACTTTTGCCACCCTCCTGAGGAAGCCCCTAGGTCCACACAGTGATGCCATGGGGGACCCTTGCCTTCTGCACTTGCAGGTGTCACGTTTTGCAGGGAGGTGGTTGGGCCTGGGGCTCAGCCGCTGGGAGACAGTTGGGACCTGAGGGACAGAGGATCGGAATGGAAGCCACCAATGTGGACTGGCCCCCTCGGGAGGCTTGTCACACCTCCACTGGCATCCACACAAACCAAACAGGAGCAGGCACCATCCCCACTATTACCATTAATGCCATGTCACCCCTCAGCAGGAGTAGTCAAATCTCGGGCAAAAGAATTTTGGCTAGAAAAGAAAATCCCACTTTAAAATGCCAGCTGCAGATAACTCAAAGCCATCCCTTTTTTCTAAAGGGCACATTGAGAATGTTACCCATTTGTAAACTGTTCCCTGATGTCCTTGTTTAGACGATAATAAGAAAAAGGGCAACTCCATTTGTTGAGGGTCTTTGTGTTCTTCAACGAGAAATCAAATTTGAGACATTGACATTGCGGAAGATGAGCTGCGTGCTGCTGCAATCACCGGCTTCTTCTCACTCTGTCGTAGACACACCGATAGGACCAATGGCCAATAGATATTAAAAGCAAACCCTCACTGCTGCTGTATAAAGTTGCCTCATGTAAATGTCGATCGTTTAGTCCCTAGGTCACCTTTGTGCTGTGGTGTGCAGTTCAGAAACGGGGCACCGTGACCTGGAATGTTTTGCTCTTATTTTTGCAGTCTTCAGGCGGGGGGCCCTGTCTCACTGGGAAGCCCCTCTTTATAAAGCATTATATTACCTGGAATGGCTTGGTCAACTGTGTTCAGTTCATAAATATGTTTTACATTTTTATCTGCCTGTTACAAAGATGAACAAAAAAAACTTAATGAGAAAGATCACAGATGCATAATAATTTAAAGTCTGTAGTTGAATTTCCTAACTTAAAGAATAGACCAAAATTTCTGTGTATAAAAAAAATGAAAGGCTCCTTACATCCTGGTCTGGATAATGTGTGTGATTTATTATTTGGTGAATTAACGTGCGGAACAAAACAAAGGTGCCTTCATGCCGCTTTAACAGAGCTGGAGAAGCCACGGGCAGGAGGGGGTTTCCCCTGGGTGTGCAGCAGCCTGGCCGGATGTGTATGCAGAAGAGGAACTAATGCTGGGATGTCAGGCCCCGTGGGGAGGGGCTCCAGCTGCTGCAGGAGCCATGGCTGCCTTGACTTGAAAGGGCCTGTAGTACATGGCCCAGTGGCTCAGGCCTGTAATCCCAGCGCTTTGGGAAGCCGAGGCAGGAGGATCCCTTGGGCCCAGGAATTTGAGGCTCCCTGACACACATGCACACTCCTCACTTCTTTTATTGTGGTAAAACACAGATCACAAGCACATTCACGGTGCTGTGCAGCCATCACCACCATCCAGCCGCGGAACTTGTTCATCTCCCCAAACTGAAGCTCTGGCCCCGTTCAACCCCAACTCCCCACCCCCCAGCCCCTGGCACCCACCCTTCTACTTTCTGTCTCTATGGATTTGACCACTCTAGGCCCCTCATACCCTCATAGAAGTGGAATCCTACAGTATTTGCCCTTCTGTGACTAGCATGATGTCCTCAAGGGTCACCCATGTTGAAGCATGTGTCAGAATTTCCTTTTTAAGGGGAATCATACTCCATTGTCTGGATATGCTGCATTTTGTTTATGCCATCAGCCATCCATGGACATTTAGGTTGCTTCCACATTTCAGCTCCTGTGGATCATGCTGCAGTGAACATGGGCATGCAAACTGCCCTTCCAGACCCTGCCTTCCATTCCTTTGGGCCTATACCCAGCAGTGGAATTACTGGATCCTATCGGGACTGTAGGTTGAACCTTTTGAGAAACCGCCATTTTCCATTCTCATCAGCAGTGCAGCAGGGTTCCAATCACAGACGCCTTTGCTAATCCAAAGCCACAGGAAGAAAGCCCGCCATTTCACTCATTCTCTTAATCCACATGCTGCATCCCTAAACACCTGTGCCTGTGCACGCCCATGCTCCATGGTCCCACTCCTGCTGGAGCCCGGAAGAGCCAGGACTTGCCAGTGACCACCCTGGCGATGGCGCTAAGACCACACTCCCCTCACTTCATTGGATTTCTCTTTCCCTTTTCGACTTGGCGAAGACGCATTTTCCAGGAAGGCTGCCAAGAGAGGAGAAAAATGGCTTCAAAGTCATTCAAAGCGTCAGAGTCCATGCTTCTAAAACCAGCGAAAAGACCAATAGGGCCAGGCGCAGTGGCTCACGCCTGTAATCCTAGCATTTTGAGAGGCCAAGGCGGGGGATCACTTGAGGTCAGGAGCTCGAGACCAGCCTGGCCAAAATGATGAAACCCTCTCTCTACTAAAAATACAAAAATTAGCCTGGCATGGTGGTGCACGCCTGTAATCCCAGCTACTTGGGAGGCTGAGGCAGAAGAATCGCTTGAACCCAAGAGGTGGAGGTTGCAGTGAGCTGAGATCATGCCACTGCACTCCAGCCTGAGTGACAGAGTGAGATTCTGTCTCAAAAAAAAAAGAAAGAAAGAAAGAAGAAAAGAAAAAAGAAAAGAAAAGAAGACAAATTGAAAACAGCAGGCAGAAGAATCGCACCATGCCCTTGCTGCATTGGTGTCCAAGTGCATCCTGAACCATAAGGATGAGTAAGTCCAGATTGAGCCAAAGTCCACACAAAGACAGCTGGCCCTTCATGAAGAGATATCATGCTACCCTAGAAGAATCGCAAATTTGTGTCTGTGAATCCCCTGTCCACAAGCTTCTGCTTCAGATATGACACAGGTGCCACGGGGGAAAATTGGTACTCAGTGAAACAGCTGGGTCCTGGGAGTAAAGGCTTGTGCGGGGGTTTCGGGGAGGCCCGTGTGTGAGTGGCCCGTGGCTGCTCACAACAACAGAAACTTCTCTCACAGTTCTGAAGGCCAAAAGTCCAAAATCAAGGCATGGGCAGGCCATGCTCCCTCTGAAGGCTCCAGGGCAGCATCTGTTCCAGGACTTCCTCTTAGCTTTGGGCATTGCCAGCCGTCCTCGGAATTCCTTGGCTTGTAGATGCTTCACTCCAACCTCTGCCTCTGTTGTAGTGTGGCTTTTCTCCCGTGTCTGTCTCTCCTCCTTTTTTCTTATGGCTTTTTTTTCTCACCCACAGCACAGTTCAATGCATGTGGGAGGCTGTGTTAGGCTCCAGAAGAAATATAGGCACGGAGGCTGTTTCCGGCTTGCAATTCTGTCACCTCCAAGTCCTTTCTTTCTGGAAGTTCAGATAAGAAAATAGATGGCGTTTACACCTTTGCCCTTAAGTGCTTACAGTGACACCTATACAGTCCCCTGGACTTCCAGAGATGAACATGAAGCACATGATCCTATCTAGAATTGGTGGACACTAACTTTCCCCAACACAATGACTGCCTGTTATTTCAAGCAACTACTATGTTCTTTATTGGTTTTACATTTTAACATACCAGGCCAGGCATGGTGGCTCACACCTGTAATCCCAGCACTTTAGGAGGCCAAGGTTAGAGGATCACTAGAGTCCAGGAGTTTGAGACCAGCCTGGGCAACATAGCAAGGCCTCATCTCTACCAAAAGTAAAAATAAAATTTAAAAAATAGCCAGGCATGGTGGTGCACACCTATAGTCCCAGCTACTCAGGAGGCTGAGGTGGGAGGATCGAATGAGCCCAGGAGGTCAAGGCTGTAGTGAGTCATGATTGCAAAAGAAAAGAAAAGAAAGAAGAGGGGAGGGAGAGAAGGAGAAAGGAAGAAAGGGAGGGAGGGAGGGAAGGAAGGAAGGAGAAAAGAAAAAAGAAGAGAAAAAAGAAAAAAGAAAGGAAAAGAAAAGAAAAGAAAAAAGAAAAGAGAGGTGGATCAATTAGCCCAAGATACACGGGTGACGGAACCAGCCTTCACAGCCAAGCGGTCTAACTCCAGAACCCACTCTTTTGTTTGTTGGAATGTTAAAAATATACTGAATGCTAAAATGTTTTTCCTTTTCTTTTCCGGTCTCGAACTGCTGGGCTCAAGCCATCCTCCTGCCTCAGCCTCCCAAAGTGCTGGGAATACAGGCATGAGCCATTGTGCCTAGCGTAATTTTTTTTTTTTTTTTTAATAGACGAGGTCTTCATATGTTGCCCAAGCTGGTCTTGAACTCCTGGGTTCAAATGATCCTCCCACTTCCACTTCCCGAAGTGCTGGGATGACAGGCCTGAGCCACCATCCCCTGCCTATTTTTAAAATGTTTGAGGAATCTCCATACCGTTTTCCACAGTGGCTATACTATATCCCCCCAGCAGTGTGTGAATGTTCCTTTTTCTCCACATCCTCACCAAAGCTTGTTTTCTTTAGTTTGATAGTAGCCATTCTAATTGGAGTAAGGTGATATCCTCAATATGGTTTTGATTTGCATTTCCCTGATTACTGACGTTGAGCAATTTCTTCATATACCTGTTGGGCATTTATATGTCTTCTTTGGAGAAATGTCTATTTGGGTCTATTGCCCATTTTTAAATTGGGTTGTTATTCTGTTGTCTAAATTCCTTATATATTCTGGTTATTAACCCCTTGTCAGACGGAGAGTTTGTGAATATTTTCTCCCTTTTTTTAAAAAAAAAAAAGATACAGTCTCCCTCTGTCGCCCAGGCTGGAGTGCAGCGGCGTGATCTCGGCTCACTGCAACCTCCACCTCCCAACTTCAAGCAATTCTCCTGCCTCAGTTTCCCAAGTAGCTGAGATTACAGGCATCCACCACCACGTCTGGCTAATTTTTGTATTTTTAGTAAAGACGGGGTTTTGCCATGTTGGCCAGGCTGGTCTACGACCTCCCGACCTCAGGTGATCACCCACCTCGGCCTCCCAAAAGGCTGGGATTGCAGGCATGAGCCACCACACCCAGGCATCAGGGTCATTTTTACCATAATTCTTCTGAGCCCTGGCCACCTTCTCTTCCCCTGAGCACTTTTCACTACCATGCTACACATTCTCATTCTGTTTCCCATCTCTCCCTCCACATAAGCAAGGAGTTTCACCAGGTTGCCAGAGCGTAGGCAAGGACTGGGCACACAGCAGCTGCTTTAAAAATGTGGTTCTTTGACTGAGTAGTCTTAAAAAGCTTACACCAGGTAAAGCAGGAGCCCACATTTAGGAGAAGTTAATCATCAAAACCCACAGGGGAGTTCTACAAAATGAAGGGCAGGTCAGCCGGGGCAAGCCTGCCCACCAGGGAGGCCTGTGACATCTGCTCAGATACTTCACCGTGAGGACACTGAACATAGTCGCTCTGTAAAGTCAAGCAAGACTCTGCCCTGACCTGCATCACCCCTGCCCCCACACCTGCAGGAGCCGGAGCCCACCCTCCTGTGTAAACCTAGCAGTCCCCCAGCCCTATGCCACGTGCTGAACGTAGGTCTAGCCTGTAAGGGGACCCAGAGAGCATCTCCTGGACTCCTTCTTACCCACTGGCTTTTGAGCAGGGAGTCACTGAAAAACGCATTACTTTTAGTTACTTTTGATCAGGTCTCACTTTTCTGAATGCAAGTGATCCTCCCTAACCCCAGGCCTGCCGCCTGGTGGCTGTGTGGGACACTCTACCTGAGGGCACTCCGAGGGAAGCAGTCTCTGGCGGCCCCGCACACCCCCATGTGCAGCATGCGCTGCAGAGCAAAGCCAAGGGTCCCTATTGACTTGCATCACCTTTTATTACACAAAATAGATTTCAGCCATGTTGCACATTCATTCTCGCCATGAATCTGGCTTTAAAAAATCCCTAGGGATTCAGTCTCATCGATTTCATGGTTTTCCTTTCATTGATGTCACGCCTCTGTTGTAGTCAGAGTCCTCTCAAAGAACAAAAGCAGATGTGGCTGCCTTGGGTCAGCTCACACAGTGCACTCCCGGCCTGCCCACTGGAGGTGCGGCTCCCATCATCGTCTGGACCGCAACTGCTAGGGACTGTCAAAGCAGCAGCATGCCATCGCCTTCTCCAGTCCTTTTCCAGCAGCAAACCAGTCCTCCCAGCCGGTCCTCTGGGGACCAGCCGTCATGGCGACGTGGTGGCAATGTCCCCAGGCAGCCAACCATCCTGGGCTTCTCTTTGGGCAGGCCTGGGCCAGGGCCTTAGGGGATCTCTGTGTCCATGGTATAAATCTGAATGAGATCAGACACAATATTATCAATGATTGGCTTGGTAAGGTCGTCACTAAACACCTAGAAAGAAGAAGGAAAACAGGTTCCAGTTAGACTCCCTCTGTGTTAAATAAGGCATCTGTCACTAAGCACAGAATCACATTTCATGGGCAGGGGAGGGGCACAGGGACTTGGCTATCCAAGAAGATGGTAGCTCTCCTGCAAAGCCAGTTCAGTTCCAGCCTGTTGAGGCCAATGAAACGCTTCACAAAGCCGAGGACATTCCAGATGGAACAGGCCTTGGTGATCCTCTGACCCAGACAGGAGGGGACCTGTCTGAGGTCATGCAGGGAATTGGTAACACAGCTGGGTCCAGAGCACAGTCTCCTGCCTCCTGCCTGGGACTCCCTCAGGTCTAGGGTCTCTGGGGACACCGGCAAGAGGACAGGGTGGCAGTCCCTGTGCAGCCACAGGCAGACTAAGTACCCGGACCCCATGCCCACCGTAACCCAGCCCCTGGGGAGCATGTGGACCCACTCCACAGCCCGGACCACCACATGCAGGAGCACTCGCAAGACGGCAAAGGACATCCTCAGGGCCCATGGCAGGAGGGTTGCAGCCCAGGGCCATGCCACAGAGTGGGGTCTACACCCTGTACCTTCCAAAAGCAGGTCTGGCCTCTGCCCAGCTCCTGGAGAATAACCTCTAGGCCCCTAGAAAATCCCGCCCCGTGTGAGCGTCTTGGTTTACTGGACTGCCAGGCGGTCTGTGTTAACCACATCATTTACGGTGAGGGCCTTGGGCCACAGAGTCCCAGCTAGACCTCTGGTGGCTGCAGCCCAAGTAACCAGGGTTGGCCACGCAGGCGCTCCGTGCCTAGGCGATCCACCCCCCGCGGAAAGCCTGGCCGCCACGGCTGGGTGAGCTTCCCTAGTTATGACTCCACGCATGCTGCCCACACTGTTGCTGAAAGAAACAGGTGCTGTCGGCACAATACCTGTTGTGCCCTGGGCGAGGAGCCACTGAAGCTCACGCCTGGTCTCTCCTGGAGCCTGTCCTGTGCACCCTGAGCCTTCGCTCACCGTGACCTGTGTCCTTTCCTTGTAATAAACCGGAACTCAGAGTGTGACGGCTTTTCTGAGTTCTGAGCCCTCCCAGCACAGCCCTGAGCCCCAGGGTGCTCTTTGGGATCCCCATTGATAACGGAAATAGTAAGCAAAGCAGCAAGACCTTGGTTAGATGCTGCGTCTATAGCCATCCTGTCCCCAAGCTTGCTGCCTGGGGAACCAATGCACCAATAAGATCAAGGCCTTGGGCCAAGTCAAGGCAAGAAGTGGACCTAAGTCCACCCCTGCTGAATGCTCCCAAAGAACCATAGGTTCCTCTGTGGCCTACAACCTGAGGTAGGAGATGGTAACCTGGACACCCTCCAAGTCCTGACTCAGGAAGCATAGCTGTCTTACCCTGGGCTCTGGGTGAAAAACAAATACTTCAGAAATGCACACTTGTTTGCTGGGGTCCGTGACCTGTGTGCTCCTGGAGACCCCAAGCTCAGAAGCAATCATTAAAAAGCATGCAGGGGCTGGGCATGGTGGTTCACGCTTATAATCCCAGCACTTTGGGAGGCCGAGGCGGGTGGATCACTGGAGGTCAGGAGTTCCTTGAACCCCGTCTCTACTAAAAATACAAAAATTAGCCGGGTGTGGTGGCAGGCACTTGTAATCCCAGTTACTTGGGAGACTGAGGCAGGAGAATCACTTGAACCAATGAGGCGGAGGCTGTAGTGAGCCGAGATCTCACCACTGCACTCCAGCCTGGGCAACAGAGTGAGACTCTGTCACTTTAAAAAAAAAAAAAAAAAAAAAAAAGGCAGGGCCAAAACGTAGAAGCAGCCTGCGTCCATCCATGGATGAATATGTTAATATCATACAGTCCATGCAGGCCATGAAATATGATTCAGCCATCAAAAGAAAGGACATTCTGAGACAGGGGCTCCAACATTGTGCTCAGTGAAAGGAGCCAGTCACAGAAAGGCACACACTGTGAGGGGCCTCAAAGGAGAGCCATGAACTCTGTAGATGGACAGTGGAAGGGTGGGTGCCAGGGGCTGGGGGGTGGGGAGTTGGGGTTGAACGGGCCAGAGCTTCAGTTTGGGAAGATGAACAAGTTCTGCGGCTGGATGGTGGTGATGGCTGCACAGCACCGTGAATGTGCTTCTGCCCCTGGGCCGCACACTTAAAAATGGTGAACATGGTACAATTTAGGTGATGTGTATGTCATCACAACTAAATATAACAGTCCAGAACAGGTGACAACCCTGGGGCACCTGACAGCCGAAAGGACACAGACCCAAGTCCTAGGAGGAGACACTGCCCGCCTCTGGGAACTTTGCCTTTTTGTGGGCGGCCCGTCTGTTTATAAGACAAAGAGCAGCAGCGGCTGGAAAGGGGCAGGTTCTCCTTCTGCTAAGGAACAAGGGGATGGAGGGCACTCAGTGTGGCTCTGGACGTGGAAGTTTCAGCAGCATTGTGTGACGACCTGCATCATTTCTGACACCGCCACCATCCCTGCTCATCTGGCAAGTCAGAGTGCAGGCAAGCTCCTCCAGGGAAGCACATCAAGCTGCCATGCCGAGCCCATGGCAGACAAGTGACAGGAGTCGCTATAAGAAGTGGTGGCCGAGGCCGGGCGCGGTGGCTCACGTCTGTAATCCCAGCACTTTGGGAGGCCGAGGCAGGTGGATCACGAGGTCAGGAGTTCGAGACCATCCTGGCTAACATGGTGAAACCCCCTCTCTACTAAAATTACAAAAAAATTAGCCGGGCGTGGTGGTGTGCGCCTGTAGTCCCAGCTACTTGGGAAGCTGAGGCAGGAGAATGGCGTGAACCCGGGAGGCGGAGCGGAGCTTGCAGTGAGCCAAGATTGTGCCACTGCACTCCAGCCTGGGCGACAGAGCGAGACTCCGTCTCAAAAAAAAAAAAAAAAAAAAAAGAAGTGGTGGCCGAGAGCACACAAGGAAGAAAGGGTTTCAAAAGCTAGGCTGTGAGCTCCGCAGCACCTGGGTGGGTGAGGCCTCCCAGGGCCCCACTCATCATGAGGGATCAGGCCCTTGCACCCCACCAGCCCATAGGATGCACCTGGATTCCGGAAGCTTCTGGTGCACAGCCCCGAGCTGGGAAGCAAAGGTCAGGTCAAGTTTAGCAACCTTTAAGAAGGGCTGGGTGAACATAAGCTCGCCACCCCACAAAGGGTAACTTCTTCGCAGCCTGAACAACAACTGGGTGAGCTGGGCCGCCAGCAAACAACTTGCTGGCGGAGCTGCTTCCTGGCTGTGCAGGCTCACCTGGGCTCGCACTCCTCTGGGAGGGGTTAAGCATGGGACGCAGGTGGTACCAGCACACCAGGTGAGGTTTATGAGCAAGCGCAGAAGACAGAGCAGAAAGGAAGAGAGATGCAGGATAGCCAGGCAGCCCAGGGCCAGGGCCACACCCACCAGATGTCCCCAGAAGGTGTCTGCCCTCACCAGAGTCCAACCCTGAGCACAAGGCAGCCATGCTATCTGAAAGTCCCTGGCAGCCCGAGCATGGAGCAATACTGTCTGTCCACACAGATGGCCCTGCACCACCTGCACACTGCCTCGGGGACAGGGTGCTTCCAGCCTGCGACTAGGAACACGGGTGCATGGGTTCAAAGACACATGGGCACCTGCTATAGTGCCAGGGTGGCGCGGGAGACGTGGCGGCATGGGGCAGATGAGCTGCCTGGCCTCAGGCGCTCACAGCTGACTGGGGATACGAGATTAGACAATAAACATGCAAAAATCAGCAAGTGCTGTGGTCATCCGCAAGGCACACGGGCCAGGAAAGAGAGGCAGGGGCGCCTCTATGCAGAACAGCAGCGGCCACCTGGAAAGCTGTCCGCTGGGCAGGCCTACAGAGTTCTACCATCCATCCCTCCAGGATCTACCTACTAATACCTATCAGTCACCCGCCACCCAGCCCATCAGCTCTCTCACCCATCCACCTAGGTGTCTGTCAACTAGCCAGCTAGCTGTCACCTACCTAGTCACCCAGCCCTCTCCATAAAGCACCCCAGATGTTTCTGATGGGAAGCCAGGTTTGGTAACCTGTGACCACACTCAAGTTCCCACTCAATTCAGTAAAAGCGGTTCTCCGCTGGGGCAACCCGCCTCCCGGGACACCGGCGACATCTCGGTGGAGGCTAGCACTCTTGTTCAACATCCAGGATCCCTAAATGGCAACTGTGCTGAGGGAGAGCCTGGCCCAGGCCATCAACAGGGCGCTCTGAAGCTTCCATGCTCCCCAGCAGCCCATATCTTTCTTCATGGATAATTAATAGAAAGAATTTGGTGAGCACTGCAATACAGACTTCCAGAGGGAAAGGGGGCACGTCCGGTATGCCAAGCAGCCACCTCACCTGCCACCATGGCTTCTCAGCCTCGACTTCGGCGGGCACTTCAACTCCGTAGACCTGTAGGGCCAGGTAGAGCACTGCCACGGCGATGTGCTGGGCCTGGAAGCGGAGGCACAGCCCCCCGTGGTAGCTGTCCCGCAGCAGGGCCCAGGCAGTGACGGCAACAGGGGTCCGCTGCCAGCTGTGGCGGTTCAGCCAGTTCTTGAGGGAAACCAGGTAGTGGAGCAGATACTGCAAAGACACATGCATCAGCCTTTGATCCCACCAGCTGCTCTCCTCATGCTGACATAATCGTATCAGCACCTGCACCAACCCTCCAGCGGCTTCCATGTCCCTTAGGAAGAAGCCCCAAGGCCTTCTGCTGGCCCCATCTCCTGCCCCTCCCATCCCGCCTTCCAGCGCACCCTGTCTAGGGCCTTCACACTCATGGAGCTGTCTGCCTGAAACCACCTCACCATATGCACCTGCCCACTCTCATCCTCCAGACCCAGCTCTAGGGAAACCTATGAGGGCCACCCCCACCGCAGTCCCTCTCAACCACAGGGCCCGCTCTGGCCACCATGAAATTCCTCGGGGCCTGGTGCTCCGGAAAGCACCCTCTTCATGGGCAGAACAGAGGGTGCTGCTCCCCATGCATCTGGCCTGCTGCCAAGGGCACATGCTGTCCTCAGCCACAACATCCAAATGACCTCCCAGCCCAGCTGCCAGCTCCTGCTCTCAGAACAGACATTTTGCCGGAACCTCACACAATAAGACAGATGCTGCAAGCTCTCTGGACAGTCTGGAACACACATGTGTGTGTGACCCCAGCACACCATGCAGGAGGGATACATAGGTTACTTTCCGCCCCAGCCTTGACTGGAAGGAGGGGAAGGGGCTGGCAGGCTCCCAACCACACCAAGCTATCAGTTTCCCATCTGGGCACAGATCACACACCCCCCGAGGTCTGAGTGCTGCTCTTTCCTAAGCCTTGTCGCCTTGACAGCTCCACCCTGCAGCCACCGGGGCATCTCCCACCTTCCCCCAGGATGCTCACCAAGCATTCTGCCCACTAAGACACTACTGTGCAGAAATCCCAGACCAGGGCTTTCCAGATACTAAGGTAGGAGTGTGGAAGGCTGGAGGCAAGATTATAAAGGCAACACGAAGGGCTTGTGCAGCTGGAACTGTCTCTCACCTTGGCTGTGGTGGTAGGTCTGTGAACGGAGACGTGATAAAATGGAACAAAAAAAATACACAAAGGAATACAAGTGGAAGTAAGGATGCCAGTGGACTGTGTCAGTGTTGACATCCTGGCTGTGTTCCCCTTGGGGGAGACTGGGCCAAGGGTACATGTCACAACTGTGTGGGAATCTACAATGATCTCAGTAAGAGTTTTGATGAAAAAGAATGAAACTCCTAGCCCAGAGCCCCAAACCACAACTCCTCCATCTCTGTCTCCAGCCAGCCTTCTGAGCTGCCCGTGCGTGGGGCTGCGGTGCCCAGAGCATCGTGTGCCAGTCGCCTTAGCGTTTCGCTTTTCCCTTTTGCTGCTGTTTGAAATGGTTCTTCTGTTGAGACTCACACGTTCCTAGATGGCTTCCTAAGCACAGCGGAGCTGGATGCATGCTCCGAGGCATCACAGCATCTCCTGGGGACGGGGACTCTGGCTGGTCACGAAACCAGCCTGCTTCCCCAAGGCCCAGCGTGCATACCATCTATATGGGCCACAGGAGCTGCGACAGCTTCAGCGGGCCACATGGACCTCGCCCACAGGTGAGCAGGCAGAAAGGCAGAAGCTGAAATGAGATTTGGCTGAGAAAACCCACAGGAGTGGGACAGGAGAGGCCAGGCAGCCAACCCAGCCACAAACACGGAGCGGGGAGACCCAGTTCCCAGCCGCAGCCCTGCTCTCCTTCTGTGCTGCGCTCTCGAGTATGAGATGGGATGCACTTTTGGGATAAAGAACAAAGACCATGGCTTGAGCCTCCCCAAACAGGCACCAATTCCCTAGCATGTACCTTGTGTGGATGCTGGAAGGAGACCTGGAAGCGCAGAACTCTCAGCATGAGAAGCTCACACTGCACAATGCTGTCCCGGAGCTCCCAGAAGCGGGAGTCCAATTCCAGGGGCTCACCGCTTGGGTTAAAGTACCTGCACAGAGAAATGGCAATGCTTCAGCAGCCAGTGCAGTCTCCCCTGAGCATTGGATGGCTCAAATTGCTTAAGTCACACAATGTCCAGATGCAAACTACATTGTCCATCTGCAGATTAATGTAGGGTCATTTTATTTGTGTTTTTATACAAAAATTCTTCATCTCCACATCTAGTGTACAGAATGAAAACAGTAACCAACAGAGGAAAGAAGCCAGGTCCTAGTTTTAGCCAGATGGGCTGTCTGCTATCATTCAGCAAAATGTCAAGTGCAAAGACTGGCTGTTGGCGATGGCTCCAGAGGAACCGGAAGCTTGAGCATGCCAAGTCGGTTGTGCTTCCTGTTATATTCAGCCTGGCAGTAGGGAATCTTCATCACCTGAGGTGGCAATGCCCAGGGCTCTCACTCTGGGCCCAGGGAACGTATTTTTTCATCTTATTTTTATTTTTTATTTATTTATTTATTTATTTATTTTGAGACGGAGTCTCGCTCTGTCGCCCAGGCTGGAGTGCAGTGGCGCGATCTCGGCTCACTGCAAGCTCCGCCTCCCGAGTTCACGCCATTCTCCTGCCTCAGCCTCCTGAGTAGCTGGGACTACAGGCACCCGCCGCCACGCCCAGCTAATTTTTTGCATTTTTAGTAGAGACCGGGTTTCCCCGTGTTAGCCAGGATGGTCTCGATCTCCTGACCTCGTGATCCACCCGCCTTGGCCTCCCAAAGTGCTGGGATTACAGGCATGAGCTACCGCGCCCGGCCTTATTTTTTATTCTTTGAGACAAGGTCTTGCTCTGTCTTTCAGGCTAGAGTACAGTGGTGTAGTCACAGCTCACTGCAGCCTTGACCTCCTGGGTTCAAGCGATCCTCCTGCCTCAGCCACCCGAGCAACTGGAACCACAGGCATGCACCACCACACCCGGCTGATTTTTGTATTTTTGGTAGAGACAAGGTTTCACCATGTTGGCCAGGCTGGTCTTGAACTCCTGGACTCAAGCGATCCACCCGCCTCGGCCTCCCAAAGTGCTGGGATTATAGGCATGAGCCACCATGTCCAGCCATCCAAGAAAGATATTTAAGCCTCTCATGGGAATGAGGTACTCCAAAAAGTGAACATTTCTCAGTTTTATATTTCCCAGACCGTTTTTCCTTCGCCTTGGCGAAGACCCTGCATCCTGCCCCAGGAGGAACACACCTGCTTGGGCCGGCTGTGCCATGCCCATGCCCACACCCACAGCAGGGCGAGGCCCCTAAGCAACTGGGACCCACCACCTGGCTGGGTCTGTACCCTCCTGATGCAGGCAAGCTCTTCTGCATGCAGCCATCCCTGTCTAAGACTTCAACAGAATCTTCTTTGACATGCCTCTCCAAGCTCCCCCTGCTCAAGCCCCACCTCTACCCTCCATCCAGCTTTCCAGGCTCCCCATAATCTGGCCCAGCTTTTCTCTCACAGACCCCACTGGCCTCTGACATCAGGCTCCTTCCCACGTTTGCTGCTAGTGTTTCTGGCCCTGGTTCAAGGCCATCCAGGTACTTCCTTCCAAGCTCCATTGCTGGCACCTGGTGGGCAGGGCCCCGTAGGAGCCTTCCCTACCCTTCCCCCCCACCGCGTGGACACCAGGAGCCCATCCAAATGCCATTACCTGTTGGACACATTGATGATGTCACGAGTCCGCAGGTGCTGCTCTTCCACTTTGCCAGCCAAGTAAATGGAAGACATGGCAATCAGGTAAGGGTCATAGGCATCCAGGTTGGTCTCACAGAAGAACTTATGGTAAATGGTGCAAGCAGTGGCAATGGGAATGGACCGCATCCCTAGCTTGACACCTGCAGAGAGAAAGCAGGCAAGAGAGGACTTCAGTCCAGCGCTGGTTCACTACTCCAGTGAGGGAAGCCACTGGAATGGGCCCTAGGAGGTACAACCCTTCTTGGACAAGGCTAAGAGCTTCCAGCAGAGCCAGTGGCTCCTGCCGGGTCTCTCACTGGGCTCTTAGACTCCAGCGGATGACCCAAGCCCCTAGGGACGGTGTTCAAATGCAAACTTCCCCTTCTGTAGGTCTGCAGCTCTGAGATTCTGCACTTGTGACAAGCCCCAGGTCATGCCCATGTCAGGGGTCTGTAGACCACGCTCTGGGAAACAAGGGTTCCAAGAACTGCTCAGTTAGCAACTGGCATAGCAGCTTCTGCAAAACCCTAGGAAAGGACCATATGCTGTTGTGTGTCTGGGTTCACCTTAGCAAGCCGCTAGCTAGAAGTCACCCAACCCACAGCTACGACGACAGAAGAGAAACGGCCTCGTGGGTACCACAAGTCCTGAAGTCACAGTGAAAGATTATACTGAGCACTGGTTTCATAGTTCACAGGTTAGAAGAGGTGAGCAAAGCAAGCAGCGTGACTGCCAAGAGTAACCACTCGCATTACAGAGAAAAAGCAATGTTTATGGCCACGGCCAGGCACGGGGGAAGGACACCAACACGTTGAAAAGTAGGCTGGGCATGCTGATTTACGCCTGTAATCCCAGCACTTTGGGAGGCTAAAGCAGGAGGATTGCTTGAGCCCAGGAATTTGAGATCGGCCTGGGCAACAGAGTGAGACCCTGTCTCTACAAAAAAAAAAAAAAGAAAAGAAAAAAAATTTTAAGGTTAACAAAACTCAAAACACCAGAACACAACTCAGTGGATTCACTTAGGGGTTAAAGCCCATCCTCAGCCCATTCCTGAATGGCTCCTAAGAAAATCACTGCCCTGGTGCACAGAACCAAAACAAATTCACAACAACCAGGGTTCACAAGAGGTTAAATGACATCCACTAGGCCAAAACAGGAAGGTGGAGAACAACCAACAATCAACCATGAAATGACAGCTAGTGTCCTCTGCCTAAGAAGGTAGATCAGTTCCCTAGGGCTACTGCAACAAATCACCACAAATTCAGTCACTTAAACAACACACATTTATACTCTCCTGATCCTGGAGGTCAGAAGTCCAAAACAAGCCTAGAAGGCTAAGATCAACGTCTTAACAGGGCTGGCTCCTTCTGGAGGCTCCATGGGAGAAATCTGTTTCCTTGCCTTTTCTAGCTTCTAGAGGAGGGCTGCATTCCTTGGTTGCTGGCCCCTTCCTCCATCTTCCAAACCTCTAACTCTGCTTCTGTCCTCATGTGGCCTTCTCTGATGGTAACTCCTCCTGCCTTTCCCTTATAAGGATGGTTACATCCAAATAATCTAGGATGATCTCCCATCTTAGGGTCTTTAACCACATCTTCAAAGTCTCTTTTGCTATATAAGATGACATTCACAGGTTCCAGGGATTAGGACAGGGACATCTTTGGGAAATCAATATTTAGCCTCCTACAAAGAACAAAGGTTTATGCAATACATTTTATAAAGAAGTCCCTCAGAAGGTCTAAACTTGTTATATAGAGACAATTCCTACCTGGGACCCCTCATTCCAGGAGATGCCAGATAAGGTTCTGTTACTGACATGACCTTCCAAGCCTTGTTTTACAGAGCAAAGCCCAATTTACATGGACCCTCCGAGCAGATGGTAGCAGATGAGGTGTCACTGCTATCCTTCCCTAATAATAACATTGCAACTCTTCTTGCAAATTACAGTACATTTACATATCACTGGGATGAACAGTCCTGCAGCATTCCTCAGACTCTCTGTCCACCTTGAGTAAAAGTATATCTGCCCAACCCTTCTCCCCCAAGCAGTAAAGGTAGGAAATAACTATCCACCAACTAACAGTATCTCCTATCAAGACACTGTTGATGGGCCGGACGAGGTAGCTCACGCCTGTAATCCCAGCACTTTGGGAGGCCAAGGCAGGTGGATCACCTGAGGCCAGGAGTTCAAGAGCAGCCTGGCCAACATGGTGAAACCCCATCTCTACTAAAACTACAAACATTAGCCGGGCGCGGTGGCACATACCTGTAATTCCAGCTACTCGGAGGCTGAGGAAGGAGAACTGCTTTAGTCCAGGAGACGGAGGTTGCAGTGAGCCGAGATCACGCCACTGCACTCCAACCTGGCCAACAGAGCGAGACTCCGTCTCAAAAACAAAACAAAACAAAATAAAACACTATTGATGGCTGGATGGAAATGCGGAGCCCAACACTATTGTGGATATCCTGGCAGGGTTCGGAACAGGAGCTGCATGCAGCCTACGTCCTCGGAGTGACAGGAAACCCCGGACAGCCTTCTCCAAAAGGCTCCGCGAGACCAAGCGCCAGTGCAGGCCCGCGGGTGCGGCAGAAGGCGTGGCGCACTGCGCAGAGCTGCAGGTGCCCGGGCTGGTCCCCGCCTCGCTGGAGGCCCGACCCGGCCACGTCCTCTCCTAGGGCCTGCACACCGGTTCACGCAATGGGGACACATCGCGGCTCACTGCTCAGCACACCGGGCGCGGCGCAAAGGCGGAGGTCCTCAGCCCCGAGCCGGGCTTCCCGGCCTCTGTAAGATGAGCACTCCGGAAGCCCGGCCTGGCCAGCCGCGCCCGCTCCGCGAAGCGGGTCCCGGCGCCGCCTGCCCCGGCCTGCCCCTGGCCGCGGTTACCTGCCTCCATGATGAACCTCGCCACTCGGAAGTGCACCCTGGCTTCGGGCGCCGGCTGCCCCTCAGGGCCCCGCGCTGCGGGCCCCCCTCCGCCGCCCTCCGGGGCTTCCATGAGGCCCTGCGGCCCCGGCGGAAGGAGAGGCGGCCCCGGCGGAAGGAGAGGCGGCTCCGCCGCGCAGACGCTGGCAAAGCCGAGGGGGTGCTCGCGGCGGGCACGGCCGCCCCACCCGTCTGCGTCCCGCCCCGCCGCTCCTCCGCCCCGCCCCGCAGGGCCAGCACCCAAGAGTGAGCGCGCGTCTGCGCCACAGAGGCTGCCTGGCCGCGCGCGCAGGCGCAGGCGCAGGCGCAGAGGCCGACACCACCGGGCGGCTAGCGAGTGGCGACCCCCTAGACGTCTCGAGCCCCGCCTCTGGGAGACGCCGGCTCCTCCCCGCGGAGCGAGAGTCCGCGGAGCTGCTCTCAGACCCGCGGGAGGTCACCTCCGGTCACTCGAGCCGCAAATCCCCGCGGTCCGAAGAAGGTGTAGCCCCGGGCTGGCGGCCCAACATGGCTTAGGCCAGGAACAGCCGGCAGCGCCCGCCAAGCCCTGGGCTAGAGACGCCTGCGGGAGTTCACGTGGAGGCGCCGGTGTCTGAGGTCTGAGAAGGCAGCGGCCACCGGAAAAGGTGCTAGTGTTTGCAAACCTCGATCCACCGACACCCCAAGGAAATGCTGTGCACAAAATTCCAAGGGGGCCTTTTCCAATAGACGCATGAACGGTGTTTGTGTCTGGATCGTCCAGCCTCCTGGGATCGATTGGGAATCTAGCTTCTGCTTGCCTTTCCAGCGCTACGCACAGTAGGAGCCTAATAAATGTTTGTTGAATACATGTTGAATATCGAACTCATGTATTTACCATCCCATTTTTCATTCGTGCCTTCCACAAGCAGGAAATGGCGCATCAGGCTTTAGGGACATAGAACCCCAAAAGGACTCCCAAGCTAGTGACAGTCACTTGAGCCATTCTGATACATTCAGATCATTGCTACAATTTCAGACAGCTGGCAATATGGAGAGGCAACAGCTACTACTCCCTAAACCCTTCTACCCAGGCGCCTTGATCTCCGGATGATGTGGAAGTCTCCACCTCTTACCCCCACCCCACACACCCAGTCCGGCCTGGGTCTCCTTCCTCAGCACCTCCTGCCTCCACCAGGCTCCCCAAGTCCTCTCCATCGCAGCTGGGTTAGTTTCCTGGGGCTACTGTAACAAATGACCACAAATTGGGTTGCTAAAAACACCAGAAGTATATCCTCTCTCAATTCTGGAGGCCAGACACCTGAAATGGAGGTGACACCAGGGCTTTGCTCCCTCAAAGGCTCTGGCAGAGGATCAGTTCTTCCTTGCTCTTCCAGCTTCTGCAGCCTGAGTTCTTCCTGGGCTTGTGGCCCCATCACTCCAATCTCTGCCTCCATCTTTACATGGCCTTCTCCCTGTCTTCTCTTCTCTTATAAGCACATCTGTCACTGGATTAGGGCCCACCTAGATAATCCAGGAGGAGCTCATCTTGACATCCTTATCTTCATTACATCTTGCAAAGGTCCTTCTAAATAAGGTTACAGTCACAAGGATTAGGACATGGACACACCTTTTGGGGGCTGCCATTCAGCCCACAATAGCAGCCGCCGGAGCCAGCTTTCTAAACGGCGAGGCTCAACAGGTCCTGCCCTGCCTGACACCCTCCGGGGTCCCTTCACCCTCAGGAGAAAATGTGGGGCCTTGGCCTCACATGCTGGTCCTTGCAGAGTCACCCTGTCAACTGACCGGCCTCAGATCTCACCACTTTGCCTCATGGCAGAGACCTTTGGCAGGTCCCCTAAAGGTTATGGCCCCCCAGCTGAACGTCTCTGCACATATTCTGCCTGGTGAAGGAATTACTGCTCCACTTCCATCACCCAGCTTGCTTTTGTCTATGTGCACAGGTGTGCACGTGTGTGTGCATATGTGCGTGTGTGAACTGACTCAGGGTCCCCAGCTCCCGGTGCTGCTGACACCTGCCATACCTTGAGCACTGTGTCTGTCCCCAAGCTGTGAGCAGCCCCACCCTCTCCCCAGCCCAAGGCTGAAACCTGGGCAATGCCCAGAGGGCCCACCTTGCCTCAGCCCCGTTGGTGGAGGCCAGGTCCTGTGTTCCTCCAGACAGTGCCCTGGGCTGGAGCAGCCACAGCTAGATCTAGAAGGCTCAAGCCCATGTTCCCTAAAGCAGCTATGGGCCTTGGAGAATCAGGCTGCTGCCTCTCAGCTTCCCCCTACCACCACATCTGTGCACACTACACACACACACACCCCCATACACATGCATCACACATTCCCCCCACATACACACATGCACATATGCGAACACCCCAAATCATACAGTGCTTCCCTCTGGCCCCTGGTGGCCCGCCTATCCTCTAGGCACAGCTCGAACTCCTCCTTCTGCTCTGGGCCTTATGTGCTGAGAAGAGTCCCAGCTCAGCTAGTAAAAGGTGCCTGGGAATGTAAGCCGAGGGAATGACTCAATGAACACGAAGTTTAAAGCCCTGGGTCACCTCGGCGCAGTGGTTGATAAATGAATAATTCACTAGCCACCAACTGGAGCCAGCAAACCTTTAGGCAGCACCTCCTCTCCCACTGGCAAGCCTGTCCCCATTGTCCCAAATGTGGCATACCCCGTCTCATCTCCCCTGGCTCAGATGGTGAGTTCCTCGAGGGCTGAAGCCTGGTTCGCGACCCCAGGCTCGGCCCTGGGGCTGCCAGTCACCATCAGAAACACGATTCTGTAATATTTGCCAGCGCTTCCTTAGCTAATCCTCACCATGTGCCCATACATTGATTAAATCACAGCCTTTCCCTCACAATAGCACTATTATGGAAAAGAGTGAGTGACTCATTTCAAGGAATAGGACTCGGTCTGAAGATCAAAGGATGAGGCAGAGAAAGAGGGAAGAGGCGTTTGGGGTCCAGAAGAGAGGCTGTGCACAGGCAGGGCCATGGGAAAGCCTGGGTGGTCTTCAAAAAGCAGAGGCAATTTCCAAAGCACCTAACCTGCCCAGGTCTTCGTCCTGGCAGCCTCATCAAAGTCCAGGCCTACTACTTGTCTTTAGAAACTCCTCACTGCCTGGGAACCTCCTGCCATAGTCACTTATCCACTGTGCCATCCGAGCCAGCTCCCTCTCACCATCGGCAAGATCCACAGCCTCCATCTCTGTTCTCCCTCCCCGCTCCCCACTGCCTACCCACCCTTCATCTTTTTATTTATTGATTGATTGAGACAGAATCTCGCTCTGCCGCCCAAGCTGGAGTGCAGTAGCATGATCTTGGCTCACTGCAACCTCCACCTCCCGGGTTCAAGTGATACTCCTGCCTCAGCCTCCTGAGTAGCTGGCATTACAGGCCACGTGCGCCACCACACCCAGCTAATTTTTTGTATTTTTAGTAGAGACGGGGTTTCACCATGTTGGCCAGGCTGGTCTCGAACTCCTGACCTCAGGTGATTTGGCTACCTCGGCCTCCCAAAGTGCTGAGATTACAGGTGTGAGCCACAAAGCCTGGTCAGATTATGACTTTTTGGTGAATCTACTACCTGGTATTATTTTCTTTTTCAGAGACTCGAGTAACCAGGAGCTCAACAGAGTAATTGAGCAAGCTCTAAGCACGCACGGGATCTTGGGTGTGACCAAGTTGGACCTAGGGAGAAGTGCTGCCAGTCGGGCATGAGGGCTGGAAAATCTACCCCGGCAATAGATGTGCGGGAGACTAAAACCAGATGAGTGGGTGCCAGGGCCAGGAAGAGATCACAGGGAGTGACTGCTGATGGAGACAGGGGTGACAAGGCTGTTCTGGAATTAGATAGTGGTGACGGTGGCACAACTCTGTGAATACATTAAAAGGCCATTGAATTGTATGCTTTAAATGGGTGAATTTTATGGTACGTGAATTATATCTGAGTAAATCCATTATTTTTTAAAACTACCACATGCAATCGTGCCACTGAGGACAAAATCTTCTTATGGGGAGAAGGGTTTCACACGGAAGAGCTGGGAGACTGGCCAGCAAAGAAAGTCGGAGGGCAGAGCAGCTGGAAGAAGTGGGCAACGTTACGGAGCCAGGAAGCTCTCAGAAGGGCCAAGTGAAGGCAAGGACCTGAGAAACCCAGGGTGTCAGCAGGACAGCCACAGCGAGGGTGGGTGGCCGGGCTGTCCCGGGACTCCTGATAGCCCAGGGACGACTCCTGATAGCAAGGAGGTGGTGCGGGAGGGGACCAGAGTGGGGTGTACCCTCAAAGTCCTGCAACGAGGTCAGCGAGGTCACCTCTGAAACAAGGCTCCACTGCGATGGTTGGAGATGGAGGATCCTCGTTGTGGGCTGCACAGCAGCCAGAGTGGGAGCTGATGGAAAGACCTTGGCCTGAAATCTGTCTCCTAGGCAGCCCCTGAGCCCCTCCTGTGATGAACAGCTGGCTCCCTGGCTCAGGTGGGTGAAGGCTCCTGTCCCGCAACCCCATGGGGACTCCACTCACAGCCACTGGTCCCACTGTGACCCTCTCGCTGGAGCAAAGCAGGAAAGTCACTGGCAAATAATTTGCAGTTCCATTCTCATACACAGAGAACTCTAGAAGTTTCCACCTGCCCCAAAGAGCAACATTATGCTTTTACTATCCTCCCCCTAGGACACTTCAGCTCTCCGGCTCCATGCCACAGTCTGTCTCCAGGGACCTTGATCTCGCTGTCCCTCACATGTCACACAGGTCCACTCTATCCATGACAACATGCTGACAGGATCTGGGGATCAGGAGCAAGTGGCTGAGGAAGGGAGGGAGGGTAAAGGTCAAGGTATCAGGGAGAGAGGAGTGAGGCCTGTCTATGAGTTACTCAATTGTCATGCATTAATGGGGCCCTAAATGTGTTATTTTCCTAGGGGGTATTTGTACAAAAGCATCAAAGTGAAGATGTATTTGTTTCCCGTTCATGGCCCGCCCCCCCACCACCCCATTTCCTGTGGCTGCCGTAACAAAGTAACACAACAGAAACGCGCTCTCTGGCAGCTCTGGAGGTCAGAAGCCTAAGATCCTGGTGTCCGCAGGACCCTGTTCCCTCCTCTGGAGGCTCTGGGGGAGGCTCCTTCTTGCCTCTCCCAGTTCCTGGGGAATCTGGGTGTCCCTTGGCTTGTGATGACACCGCTCTATTCTCTGTGAATCCACGTGGCCTTCTCCTCTGTGTTTGTGACTTCTTTTCTCTTATAAGGACACCTGT